GAATTGTGCAGTAGATTGATGACAGTTGCATATTGATTCAAGTAGTTACAGTATGCTGTCAAATAGCTTCCCCAAACACTTCAGTGCAGGCTACAGTATATACTGTAAGATATTTAGAACCAAAACAGCAAACTCCCCCCTGCTGACCTGAGAAGAATTCGCTTTTGTGACCCTGAAGAGACACTGGAACAGAGTTGAGTCCAAATCAGAGAGAATATCTTCTTCCCGCTGTCTCTGCTGCTGCCAGTAAGTGTTTCGCACACACACTTCTCTCTGCAGTGCCTCTACCTGACACAATGACAGTAACAAAAGGAAGTACATCTGAGTCACTACATTTCATCACACTAAATTCAACAAAATAGAAAGCCTAAAAACTCTAATAATTTATCAAGCTGACAATTTTCCATCCTGCAAAATTCATTAGACTGTAAAATTACAAAATTGTAACAATAAAAAAAAAAACATTTCGATTAAAGTCTGACCATAAAGTCTTTTTTTTCCTCCAAGGTCATGCTAACAGTTTCTCGTGTGAGCGAATTTATGGAAACGTCTCTCTCATAGCGCCCCACCTGCACACTGTCAGTTTGATCCACCACTGCTAGCCAGTAGGAAGCTGTAACAGGTACAATGTTTTTTCTGGACACATCCAGCCTGGCTCCGACCACAGGGGCCAGCACCCCTGTCACTGGGTCAACGGTCTGGGAGCCATAACGGATCGCCACCAGCCCTGTCAGAAGTAACAGCATAGACACAGAAAAGTATACAAAATGTTTTACTGTGTGTTCTCTAATAGAATTTAAAAGTGAATTAAAATCTGACAGGTGAAAGTGGACCTGCACAATAGCTTGTTTTTCACAGTACCATTTCCATCGGGGTCCTCCATGGTCCCTGCTAATGGCACTGTAACCCCAGAGATAAGGTCAGGCTGACACCCCAGCACAGGTACACTCAGACCAGATCCCATGGGATCAGGGTACTCTATGCCCAGCAGAGCCGGCACACACATATCCGAGCCGGGGAGATGCATCTCTCCTGGTGTGAGGCGAGTGACAGACAAGACGTGACAATATCCTCAAATAATTAGTTCTCAAAGTCTTCCTGCAATTTTTTTATCCAACAGATTTCTTGCAAATAAAAAGTAGGAGTGGCACAGAATTACTGTAGGTCAAGAAGACTTTTCCAAGACCTTTGACTACAATTAAAAAGGCTCTAGTGAACATTCATATCTTGTATTTACAGGACAGGACCCAGTGACACTTTTATTAAACAGTGTGCAATGGCAGTGGGAGGAGTTGTAGGTTTTAATGTCTGGGTATTTTTAAGCTCATAGCATCCATGCTGGGAATACTTGAAGGTACAGCACAGCAGCTCTGTGTTCCTCTTATCATAATACATGGATAGGGGTTAGTACATGTCCTAATATAATGTGGCTGTGTGGGTCAAACAAGTCACTTAGGTTGTTTAGGTTATGTAGATGATGATTGCTTGTGACAAAAAAAGGTCAAAAAATCCTTGAGGTAGTAAATGTCATCATCCTTAGATTCTTAAATTCTGTTCAAAACCTATTTAATCTTAAAAAACATGGCTCACCTTAAGCCTAAAAGCTTTCTGTTCTCAGCAGCAATAGAAATTTTAGGATAACACTATGACATCCAGAAGAAGCCTAGACGTTTTTTCTTTTGTGCAGTATTAAACATATTACAGGCTCTTACTTCATCATTTCTTTTCACATATCACAATGAAAAGTGTAAAGAAGAATATGAAGCTAAGCAAATACAAAGAGGTTATTTTTCAACTCAACAGCGAGCAGGTTTATGGTGGAGTGGTAGCAAGCAGAGATTAAAATGAAAAAGCTAAAAGGATAAACTATTTTCTCAAACACAAGCAAAGGCGTCAGCAAATGTAAAACACTAACACTGTAGCTTCAAAGTAGAGAAAAAACAAAGGCTCATTTGCAACCAAAAATGGGGAGGAGCATATCAAACACACAGAGGCAAAACTGAGAGTTTTGGCATGTCCACAAGAGACTATACTCAAAGCCATTCATCTTCTCTCTGGCATATTCTCACCCAGAGTCCCCCCATCCTCTTGGAGACCCTCAGCCCAGTCCATCAGGATCTCCAACCTGGTCTGTAGCTGCAGCTGGCAGTGTAGGCTCCGCCCCCACGACTGCTCCAGCTCCTTGGCTGCAGCAAGAAGATCATCTTGTCGACCACTCCCTCTCTCACCGGCTGGACAGGGCTGCAGCTGCTGTAAAGCCGGATCTGAACCCCACTCTTTGTTTAGCGGCTTAAGGAGTTCCAGTACTTTGAACATAGATGCAAGAACCTGATTGAGAAGTAAAGAAGTTTACTTTGAGTTTTTGTTTTGTTTTGTTTTGGTTTGCATCTGCTAAATGAATTTGACACCTGTCTCATAACGTGTGATTTATTGAGAGTATTCATTTGCTAATAGTACAGAAGCTCTGAATAAGAGTACATATAGTTATGTTTTGTTATATTTCAGATAGAGTGTGTAGTAACAGCTCTGAAATAGACTTTGTCATTCAATTATTTTGTCAACTGCTGTTTTTAAAGGTTAAGAATGAATTTTTCATCTCAGTTTTTACATAGCCATAAACAAGAATTCCTTAAACTGCTAGAATAGATGAATATTTGAACATCTACAATTCCATGGCAAGTGGACAACTCTGCATGATGATAACGATTATGTGACACAGTTAAAAGCTACACAACAGCTCTCAGATGGACCTAGTGGTGAGATTTTATTTTTAATGTTACTGCACTTCATCTTTGGATTTAACTTGTTGCTTTCTAAATAAAGTCCAAACTAAGTAATGCAGTCAAATACCTGGTTGTTTAGCAAAGTTTGGTATCCTCCTGCATTAAGCGCCAGCTGTGCAGCCCGGATGCTGGCCCCTCCCACTCTCATCATTCGGCCACTCAGAGGTTCGATGAAGGACTCTGCCAGCAGAGCTCCACCTACTGGCAGCACAGCCCCTACACAAACATATACAAATACAGCAAACAACAAGAGCAAGGTTAACCCACTGAACATATAGTAACCCTTCAGGTTGTACTGGGATTTCACCATCAGCACTGACCTGTTACTGGATCTAAACTGACCCCAACAGTGAGCACAATGTTCCCTGTCCTGGGATCCAACATGGGATACCCAATCTGTATGGGCTGTGGGAGGCGGGTGAGAGGGCAGATGTGCACCCCTCCCAGTGGGTAAACTAGTCCGGTCTCGGGGTGAATGGTTACAGCCAGAATGGGTACTGGGACTCCCGTATGTGGGTCTGCCATGGGAGCTCCTAACTGCAGTCTCTGACCCGGTCTGAGGCCTCGGAGTCGAGTGCCGGACAGAGGCTGGTCTGACTGGCAGGAGGTTGGGTAAGGAATGAAAGGAAGGAGGGGACTGTCCCACTTCCTCCTATTGTCACCTGGGATTAAAATAGCACAGGAGTGAAAGGACAGTGTTACTATTTTTATTCTTCCACTTTGGTATCTCATATATTTATCAAAACACTGTTCATTACCACAGAACATGAGCATGAAATTTTTATATTCATCTCTGGTTTTCAAGCAAGGAGCCATTTTGCACCAAAGATTATTACAATTATGTAGGATGATCAATTTGTAAAAAAAAAAAAAAAAAAAAAGGTCATATAGCCAAGGGTTGCTACTGCTAATAATTTACTATATAGCCTTAAAGGCTGTTGTATAAAATCCAGCACCTCAATGTTTTTTGAGCATCAAAAAGAAAAATTATATTGTCACGCTGTTATGTCTGCTCAAGCCATGAAAGTGATATGGATACTGAGCTAACTGTGTTACTGTGTTACTGGGCCTGTGCTTATTAAAGGCTTTATCAAAACATTTACTATCATCAAATTCCATTGTAGATACATTGAAATATTTACATACATTTAGAGTGAAACCAGTTACAACAACCAGTGGCATTTAACCAGATGATCAACCACACAGTCAGCCTAAATTCCAGACTCTGGAACTGGAACTGGTCGTACTAAAGCTAATCCCGGCAAGGCAAACCAGCAGGAAAAGGGGAATATGATAAAAGAAGTATGAATTACAACATTTATTGTGGTTGAAGAAAAAATGACAATATGTTATGAATTACATTGTATATGTTACAGCAGATTTTTTTTCTTTAATGACCAAATGTTTCTGTCATCCTTATTAATTAACACACATTCTGCCTTCATGTTACCTGCACATGTGTCGTTTGTGAATACTAAAGTAGAGCCTACGGGATCGTAGGCCACATTGCCAGCAATGGGCAAAACTCGGCCTGTTTGTGGATGGAGGAAGTAATCAGGTGGCACTGCCACTGTGTGGCTGCTGGTCAACTGCATATGGCTGTGAGCATTTATCCTTATGAGGCCTGTGACTGAATCACAACGAAGTGCCTGACAGACACGCAAGGACCCATCAGGACCTGGAATAAGGCAGAAGAGAACATTGTGAGCAAGCCTTTTAGTGTAAATGATTAATGACTTAAGCTGTTTTGAATTAAAGTACAGTCACAGGCTGATTTTTTTCGTGAATAGAGCACTGTAGCATGGCGACACAAATCAAGTGACAAATCATATTTATACATCAAGTGTACTTACACTGGTGAAACAGTTTTATCAGAATGCTCATATTTCTTTTGATATTGATTATTGTTACTAAAGGGAACAAAACAGTCATATCTAGAATGAGAGAACATTTGAAAATCAGAAATTATTATCACTTGTAACCAGAACATCTCACCTGACTTCTATAATTACATATTTTGATATGAAGTTCTAGGAAATTGTGTCATACTGCTACAACTTGCAGATAACATACAACAAAGACTATAGGGCTGGACAGATTATTAGACTTAATGTATGGACCTTTAAGGGGGTGAAGTAAAATAATACTCAAAAATGTTTGAACTTTATGTAATATACTGCTAGTATAGGTACAAATGGTCAACAAAACACACAATAAGCATAATACTTTGGTACAACCTTTAATATATTTTCAGCAGTTTAAATGGTTTTACTTCACCATCTTGTTAATGCAGTGCATATTGTTGTCACTAGATGGTGCTGTTTCTCTAACATTCAACGATGGCGGGTTAAGGAATATTTCTTGTAGGTGTGTCAGACTCACCAAAGATGCGGTCCTTGGTAAGCACATTTCCAGTGTCAGGGCACAGCAGCTTGGCCCCTGTATCCTCACCCAGTAAGCCCCAGGCCCCCTGACGCTGGCACTCCTCAGATACCAGCTCTGCCATCTCTTCCACCAGGGATGTTAGTCTCTGGATCAAACTGATGGGAAACAACAGACTGAAGATGTAAGCAGATTAATCCACTCTACTTGCTGTTTGTGACTCTTTGCAAATAATAAATAGAAGCTTTACTTTTGCTGGTGTGATTCACAGGGTGGTGGGTTGTTGCCATAAACCTTGGACAGTAATCTGGTGCATTCTGTGAGATGAGTTGTGAACACGCTTTGGACCCTCTGCTGGGCCTGCTGCTCCTGCCTCAGGACCTAGAAGACAAACCAAATAATAATAATAATAATCATTCCTATTGTAACACACTAACATAATTAAGAAAATGGTCTAGAGCTGAAATGATTAGTTTGTTTTTTGTTTTCTCCTAACGTTTATTTGTAAGGGACCATGTACAATATTAAACATAAATGTTGCCATTTGATGTGTTGTACCAGAGTTGGCTTAAAGCTAATTCTCATCTGCAGTTAATTGACTGGTTTATAAACAATAAATGAATCAGAAACTATTTTGATAATCAATTAATCATCTAAGTCTATTTATTTATCTATTCATCGTCCTTTGTGCAGATTTCCTGTTTTTGCAACCAGGACATTTTTAGACTGGAATCATGGGACATGCACAGATGGATATAATAAAACCTGTAGCTGATGATCGAGCAGAGTCCTCAGCTGCGAGGCCAAAGCCTTTCGTCGCACCACCTCCTTCTCCACCTCCCTCTTCATCCCCTCATAACCCTCCCCCATCTTCTCCTCAGTGAGCACACATGGACGGAGGAGCTGCAGTTTCCCAAGCACTCCCTGGTATAGCTCCTTTACCTGAGGATACACAAGACACATAACTAAATGGCATATGACACACAAATGTCATAATATAGTAGTAGTCAGATCACACAGCCCGCTAGCACACACCTAACCAACACTGTCTAGACATGCATGTTTGTGTGATGTGTAATGCGTCATCTCCCCTTACATCTTTATTATCACCTCAGCTGTCCCGAGGGCTATAACAGCAACCTGTGGCTCCCACACTGCAGTGGTCAGTTTGATGGTACAAACAAGAAGCAGAGACGAGCAGAGTGAAACACAAGCCAGAGGCAGTTTTAGACCCCAGCTTTGGTTAATAAGATATGGAGAATATGATGTTGGAAATGTAGCAGCTTAAAGAATGAAAGAAAGAAAGATAAGAAATAAGCAGATTTCACCAGAGTTCTGAAGAAATTAGGGTATGTAAAGTAACACTGAAGGTACAATATGCAGTCCTGGGAAACAGTTTGCTGCCATCCTCCCCTGGATTTAGACAAACTACAGCCTCAGTACTTGATGAGATGAAGTATCTACAGTACCTTCAAATAATATTGACTCAAACCTCCCCGAAGGTAAAGATAATAAATATAACGTAAAGAAGCACTCAAGGATGCAAGTTATTTGCATATGTATATGTTATGAACATGTCTGTGCATTTTAAAAAACATTTTGCCTTTGATTTTTTTATTGCATTTTGCTGTGAGGTTACTGCTGTGTGGCAATAGTCACAACCTAGATTACTTAGTTTCTCCCATCTAATGCATCAAAGCATTGCAATAATAAATTCAGAAAAACATAAGCAGAAATACAGCACATGAAAATTACAGTCAGTTGCTTTGACAGTTTGGGAAATATACTTATTCACTTTCTTGGTGAGAGTCTGATGAGAAGATTGATTCACTGAAGACTGGCAGCCAGCCGCTGGGCAACTTAGCTTAGTACAAAGATTGGAAACAGGAGTAAACATTTAGCCTTGGGTCTGTGTAAAGGTAAAATCATCTGCCTACCAGCACCTCACTCTCTGGTAGTGGCTTCATATTTAGCACACAGACATGCAAGTGGTCTTGATATTCTCATCTAAATCTCAGCAAGAAAGTGTATTTCCCAAAAGATTCACCAAATTTGAAATGAATTGGATGACATGATGTGTGTGAAGGTTTTTCAGCCAGTGGGGCAAACCAAAGCTTTATTGTATATTAAATGTTGCCTGGGTCCAGCCTCTTAATACACTGAACAAGCCATTATCAAAACACAATAATGCATGTATGTGTAATAAAGGCACAACCATAGTTACATGCATCAGGGTGTGTGTGACACTGCAGAGGTGCAGTCTATCATCCCATTAAACTAAGAGCTACAGACCTCAGTGGAGAGTTGCCCCAGTCGTTTGGTGACAGACAGACTCTGTTTGAGCAGGAGGCTGTAGAAGGTGCTGCTGCTGAATGCCTCCAGATCCACCTGATGTTCATAATCCCAGAACTCCTCCAAGGTGTCTGCACAGACTCCTGTCAACACGGGGAAATACGTAGAGACAGAAATAGGAGAGACCATACATATGGCAGCTCAGTATATAAGTTAAATGATGTTTGCCCATTATTTGGCCCTACAGAGGGGGGTGTCAGGCCATGCCATCATAAATCTTCAGAGCCCCACAATAAGAAACACCATTTTCCAGACCTAACCTACCCTTAACACAAAGCATCCCTATCCTCACCCAAGCAGGGAGCAGATGTGTGGCTTGACACATAGCATCTGCATTGTATTTGCTCAGATTAAGCAGTGGCTGGTCCAACTGGCCTGTAGTGGCAGTCACCTCTGAGAGCGGGGTCCGCTCAGTGGTCCAACCACTGACACTGTTCTACCAAGACTGTCTAACAAAAGAAGACTATTAACAAATTCCATTGAGTCTGTAACTATATTATCACCAACACTGATACAGGTTCTGTGTGGGTGTAGGAATGAAGGGATGTCTACATGGTCATCAGGTGTGCATCCACTCACTAACTGGTTTTCATTGAGTTGGGCCCATGACACTGAGAAGGCTCAACAGTGTGTTCCAGTGTCCTACAACCAACCTCATCTTTGCCTGCACCTACACACCCAACACAACCCTTCATCTAATTAGGCTAATTCAGGCTAAGTGTTGCCAAACAGTCACTAGCAAACATTTCAACTGCTGTTGTAGCCACCAAACATTTCAAATACCTCACCAGATAACCAGTCAGACTTCTGCTTCCTTTTGTACTGCATCAGAAACCACCCCGTGTCAGTATTCAAACTGACAAACCAGTCAAACCTCTACTATGCCCTCATGTTAGCTTGCTCATGCTAACACCACGAAGTAGGCCTCAAGCCTGCTGCATGAATCAAATACTTTTACAAAGCCTGACCTCCTATGCTAGTTTAAACTCTGCTGTCAGGAGAGTGGTGAGAGTGTGCAGCCAAAGAAAGAGAAAGGCCTAAGTCAAATCTCAGTGTTTAATAAATCATTTGGGGAGACTGAAACCAGTTTACACACACACATAATGGGGACTCAGCCTTAAATCATGCAATTTTAGATTGTCCACTTGGTTTAAGGCACAGTAAGGGTAAAGGTAAGGCAAAGGCAAGTAGTGGTTATAGTTAAGGTTAGGGTATGTCCCCAGGAAATTAATGTAAGTCAAAGTAAAGTCCCCATGAGGAATGAAAACAAATACGGTTATGTGTTGAATAGCTGACATATTGCATGTTATGTTTGAATGTAAGCCATGTAACTACTGGCCTTTAGGCCTTCCATATACACTAGCAGAGTGGTCATATGTTTGAGAGTGTGGTGTTTGTGGTTACAGCTACAAAAGTCACCTGGTTGGACAGAGTCCTGCGTCATTCTGGCCTGCTGGTTTCGGTGAGTCTTCCTGAGTGAGATCACCTTTGAACCTTTAGATGAGTAGTCGTCCATGTGATAGGCCAGCTGCAACAAGCGGTACCGTGCCCTGACCAGCCTCTTCTCTGGCCATCCATACTCACGAAACAAGATCTAAATATGAGATGGATTCAGAAATATGATTTGTATATGTGTATTAAATACATGTGTGGCAGCATGTGTTTGTTTGTATGGACCCACCAGCAGTGTAACACATATACAGAGGATGACCACAGCTCCAAACAGCACTCCACCGGTCACCAGCCAATCTGGCCTCAGTAACAGGTTGTGTCTCCTTCGAATTCCCACCCTGGTCACATGACGAGGGATTGTGGGGAAGAAAGGGCCAGGCTCATAACACTGGCCCCCTGAAGGCATCACTCGCACATACTAAGTAGGAGCAAAATTAACAGTTGGTTTGACTGATGAACAAAGATTGATGCTTATCGTTTTATCCATACATACAGTAGAAAGCCTCCATGGGAATGCTCATGCAGCCTTTGGCACATTTGATTGCGTTTTATCAACTTAATGCTCACAATATAAATCTAATTACCAAGTGTTTGTGCTGATGGCTGCTCAGTGTAAAAACATAAACTCCAGGCTGGCTAAAGGCCACAGAAAAGAAACTGGGAGGCGTCCAAGAGAGAGTCAGCTCCTCTTTTAGCTGTCTGAATGCACCCCAGTCAAAATCACTGTTTGTATTGTACAGGTTGTCACTGGAACATAGCAAAAAAGGATTAAAGGCAAGTGTAAAGCAAGTTACAACAGATTCACAGCAATAAGAGTGGATTTATGAAATGTAGACATCTTGCATCAAACCTACAGGTCATACAGAGGATAGTGATGTGTGTCGACAGTGAATAGTATAACATCACCCAGATGGAGACATGTTGTTGGGTTCAGAATTCCTATTACACTTTTCACTTCATCCTTGTTATTGCTCTTGTTTCCCCTCCTGCTGCTGGAATCAATTTCTCCATGACTGACATTTTTAACTGTGTTGATCTTCCACAGAAAGTCAGAATCTGCCTCTAAAAATGGGACAATATGGGACCTTCACTACTGCAGTAATCTGCGGTACTTTGCAGATAGAACTGATCATGTATCATTATTATTTGTGTTGATGAGAAAACACTGCTTTATTGTGACAAACCTGCTGAGCTCTGAGAGTCCCACTGTGTGGTGACTGGAAACAGCTGCTCAAGTTCCTTTGGGATACCACTGAGGAGGCCGAGGAAGCCCGCCTCTGTGACCAAGCAGCGAGGAGAGAGAAGACAAACAGAGAGAAAGGAACACATGAGAGAAAGCAAATCATGTGCAGGACAGAAAAGCCATTGTATAGTTTTTTTTAAATGTGTGAATGTGTGTCTCTACCTATTGTCTGAACAATGTAAACAGGACGTGAGGAGTTCAGATGGCTGTTGCATAGAAGAGCCCCCCGGGAGTCCCACTGTTTAAAAAGTGCCTCCAGCACACTGCCTGAGAGGCTTAACACCTGGACACATAATAACAGTGTTTGCCATTAATAGGTTATTGCATCACACAAGAGACACTTAAGCTTAAGCTTCATTGTGATTATTTCAAAATAGTTTCATTGGAAATATCATATGGGTTCAGATATGTGATAACATGAAGGACAAATTTAGCAGAGTGTGCCGTCTTTTCATTATCTTTTAATTTCATGCATGATGTTGTATGCATCTATATTTGCAGCTACCTCTGCTCACCTGACTGTCAAAGCTCCACGCCAGTTTTATTTCTCCACTGGACTGGCACTGGAGCCTCAGCTCAGTAGCTGGCTTGTTCCTGCACAGGCCTCCACATGAGGCTCTTCCAGGAGGCTCTTTGCACACACACAGACCCAGCTCTCCATCATAACCCTGATAGTTCTCTGCAGATTGACACACCTTCAGGGAAGGAAGCAGTGCAAAGCCGGGATCAGGAACGGCTTTATTGATCAACTCCTTTTGGAAAGCGAGCAAATATTTGTTTTTTCTCTCTCTCTTCTTGGAACTTTTTTTTCCAATAAATATTTTAATTTAAAAATCACGGTGTGGTAGTATTCTCAACTTGCGCTCATATTGAGTGTGTAACTAGGTGAAGGGTCAAAGACTATGTTGACAGTCAGAGAAAGCAGTTTATGGTTAAACATTAAGTGGACTAATACAGCCCTGTATTAGATAAACTGTTGTCAGGTTCATGGAGAAAAGGGCAGTCGAGGTTGTACTCGTCGGCCTTTTGTCTGCTTGTAGAGCATGTTTTGTCAGTGTATAAACAAATAACAGTTTAAAACTGAACGCTTTCAAAATCCTCAAGCACCATTCCACTAGATCCTCAGAAGTAATTTCCTGCCAAGTGTCATTCTGAGAAAGACATGTCTGTGACCTTTTCTCTAATTTTTGTGCATGTACGTCACTGTGTTTTATGGTCACACAAGGTCTAACCTGCTGCTTGCAGTGAACCGACCACTGATATCTGTCACGGCAGTCTCCGTACTGTGTACGTGTTTTTCCATCTCTGCAAACATCGTACAGTTTGTGTACACACACACCTCCGCCGTTGGTAGGTTGGTAGCCGATGGTGCAGTGGCACCGCCCGTTGCTGGCCTGCAGAAAAGGCAGCAGGGTACAAACATTTTGTTAAAAAATGCTACATATAATTAATGTGAGGTCAGTTTTTTACCTAATACACTAATTTCCTTCATTCATTGTAAGCCATATCTACAGTATTTACCTAGCTACCATCAGCTCCTTCTGTCCTTCCTTCCATTCTTCATTATTCCTTGATTTCCCCCATATCTTTCCTTCCATCCATCATTGCTTCATTAATCTGTTTTTCTTTCCTTCCTCTATTTTCTTCCCTTCTTATTTCCATTTTTTTTATTTACACTTTAATTTATTCAGCATTTAGTAAAGGTTTAACATAAGCTGCAGCAGAGTAGGAAACAAGACCCTGCAGCGAGGAAACCTGATCTCGAGCTCTCTCAGCTTGAAGCTACAGATTGTTCAGTCTAAAGTTTCTGAAAGACAGTGAGTAAGCTACTCTCATGACTTTATTAGTGGGCACACTGTAACCAAGGACTTTGGAGTGACATAGAAAACACAGGCTTGAGAAACTAAAGGAAGTAAGTGTGGGTGAACGCACATCCTGCAGGTTAATCTCAAATCACTTTGTCACCTGAAACCTCTGCCCTTTTCTTGGACAGATGCAAGTGTCCTGGCCAGACAGTGGCTGGGGCCAAGGGCAGAGAGGCAGACAAGCCTGGTGCTGGACAGTAGTGGTGAGGAGGACACTTCAAACAGCTGTCAATGGACTTGGCATCAGCAGAAGGTCCATAGGTTCCCTTAGGACATGGAACTGGAGTTAAGCTCCCCACTGGGCAGTAAAAACCTAAGAGAAGCAATAATATGCTCTGACATACAATATTTTTATATGTATATATTTGTTTTCATTGTAGTTGTTCTGTGTATTGATGCAAAATTTTACACAACAATGTTACATTATAATCATTATAAGAATGTGGATACCCTGGTCACCACCACCTCCATTTTATATTGTGCAGCAGAACACATTGCTATTGCAAAGGGCAATAACTCACCAAAAACATTTACAGTAAAAACACAACAGGTGACAGAATAAAACATTTAAAATACTGAGAGCTTACGGTAAACATACATTCAGCAGGGGGATGAATGCTGACATGTTGAACAAGCAGACAATGCAATGTAGATCTACTGGTGTGCACCAAATGCCAGTTCATTCTTCGGGCTTGGTATTAAAATGAACTGCAAAAGCAATAGAAGGCAGGTAGGATGACCTACCTGGCTGGCAAGGCAGCCTCTCCTGATTATGGTGACTGATGTTGCTTCCATAAGCCACAGTTAGCAGCACAGGAGCAGATAACCACCACAGACAACTGAAACTCTTGCATCTGTATGTCCTTAGCATGGTTGATATTGGCTGTAGTAAAGGGCTAGCGTACAAGATACCAACTCTGTTCCAGACTTAGTAAGGAATTTGTGACTCCACAGGAGCTGTAATAGTCTTTTTGTTGCCTGTCTTGTTTAGGCCATAGCCAAAAAAATGGTAATGAAGACTCTGTAACAAGCTACACCTCCTCTGTCAGCTCTAGCTCTGCACACATGGCCTGATCTGTCTGTAAGTGGTCAGAGCTACAAAGTACACAGCAGGCTAAGTTAGTCAGTATAACTTTCACTGACTTCCTGAATGATTCATGAGGCTTGTGAGGTAAGGTGATAGTGACAGCGGAGGTACTGGTTGCTGATGGAGGGCAGCAGTACGACTACCTGGTGCAGATGGATCACATTACTGCATTTGTTCTTCTCAGTCATACCATGAAACTGATTAATAATGATTTGGTTCCAAGTGTACATCAGCACAGCTTTGCTTTAGAGAGTCTGTTGAGCAGCTGCTGAATTCACTTTCAATTTCACATAGGAAGCTCAGAAATCGGCGCCAATACAGTACCTGACTTTATGCAAGCTGGCCACAACGTTCAAACTCACTTGTAAATGAGCCAGTTTGACAAATGCATTTTAATTCATATAACTGTAGATACTGGCATACCAGTCGCTGAAAGTGAAAATAACTCTATGGTGGAGCTCTGATAAATAAACACCTGTTTTATCTACAAGCTGAGAGTGCATTATAGACCACATAGGTGCTTTACATGTGCTCTTACTTATGTAAGTAACCTGAATGTAGAGTGGTACAAATGTGTTACCTTATTTGGTTTAAAAAATACATATATGATCAAATGGAAACTTTAAATCATGTCAATACAAGTCAAGTCATTACATTGCTTGTCTGTCAGTTTGTGCATTGTTTTCAACATTGTTTTACTGATTTTTAAAGCATGTAATGGTCTTGTAGCAGCCTAGTTATCTGACACGGTTCCAGTGGATGAACCAATACAGCCTCTTGGATCCTCTGGCACTTTGAATCGTTTAGTTGTTCCAAAGTGCAGGACAAAAACTTGTTGGTGAGGCAGCTGTTTAGTTTTTATGGTATGAGCTGTTGGAGGAGTCTGAGGAGGAACTGGGAGCAGCTGAAACTTAAAACCTGTCTCTTTGGTTTGAACATTTCACTGTCATTGTTTATTTTGTATTATTATTTTACTATTGTTCTGTGTTATTCCTACTTATATATTTTACTTGTCATTGTATCATACAATATATATTTCATCTGGTTTTTGTTTATTATAAATTAATTGGGTTTTTTGTTTGTTTGTTTTCATTCATTTTCGCCAAATTCATTTTCTTTCTATTGTCTTTAATCTGTAAAGCACTTTGAAATGCATTAACTTATAAGGTGCTATACAAATAAAGTTTGATTTGATTTGACTGCTACAGCTCAAATGCAACAAGAGACCCAGATCAGTATTATTAAGATATAAAATGTACTGAGCTGCCCAAAGCATCATGAGTGGTGTTCATGCCAGTGTGTGTGTGTGTGTGTGTGTGTGTGTGTGTGTGTGTGTGTGTGTGTGTGGCACGGCCTGTGTGTTAATGCCTGCTACCTGTTGACCAGATCTCAGTATGTATAACACTGTACCTAAAAGAATGCTGGACTTTGGATGACTGGTATAACCTACATATTTCATCAGGATAGCCATGGACTATGAGCTTCCAATCACAACTCATAAATTACCTAACTGAACTTGGTTCAACTTTCACCTACATGTCCATAACACTGGTGGAAGAATCCTCCATATCTCATTTACAAATACACATCATATCACAGTAATAAGATCATAGACAAAATATTTTTTTGGAAATATGAAGCAATTTTAGGAGCACAAATGTAGTGTTAAATGCAAAAACACCCCATATTGTACATAATGCACCTAGTGTTGCCCTGTTAATGTTCTGATAAGTTGTGTTGTGTGAAAGAGAAAAATACAAAGTGTAACATAGTCAGCAGTGTTTACTCAGGCTGTTTTGAACTAATCCATCCAAACAAACCAGTACAAACACTGATATGTACTGCAAACTGTTCACTGTCGAGCGTCCAAAACAAGCCATTATAATCAAGGCTTTATGATGTCCAAAACCGGATGTGCTGAATTCTTACACAATTTAAAACATACAAAACATAAAACCTCACATCAGGTCTTTCGCAATGTTTAAAAACCCACAACAGGCACAGTGGATCAATCAAGTGGCCCCATCCTAAAATGTTTGTAGAATTCTGGTTCCTGGCAAATTGGAGGTTTGACGTGAAAATCAAAAATCCAGCCAAATTTCTTATCCGACTGTGGACTCATAAACATGACCTTGTTCACCCTTGTTGAATTGCTCTAATAATCTTCTACCTCATTTTGGCTTTTTATTAAGTGTAACTGTGTGAAAGTTTTGGCCGTAATCATCCTTTATCAGCATCAGTATTCCTTTTTTAATTGTAAAATTATTTTCATATCATGCTGACAGTGATGCAGCCCTACTGACATGATATCATGTCCTTCGTTCAGTGCTGCAAGAACGCTGAAAGGTTTTATGAACGTTCAGCAATGGTTGCTATTACACACGCACACAAATATTTGTTTTCATTCCTTGTGGGGGCTTTATATTGACTTACATTTCCTGGAGACCTTAAGATAAGGTGAGGTTAAAGTTAGTTTAAGGTTAGGGTAAGGGTTAGGTTTAGTGGTTATGGTTAAACCAAGTCATCACTCTAAAATTCAGTGATTTACTATGATGGTCAAGTTTTAGAAGACTTCTGTTTTCCCACTTGTTATTAGTGCAACAGCTGAAAACACTCATGTCATTCTCTCTACAAATGAAATCGAATATTGTTCAGCTAGATAGCATAGTTTATAGAGGTTCCCGCTTGTACCTGTGTGTTGATTTGTTTTCACTCTTTATCTGGAAAGTCTGGGCACTGTGCTGCCATTCTTTCAAGTCTTGTTCTTTTCTTCTACGGAGCCTGGAGGTGTTTTGAGTATGTGTGTGACGTTATGTCGTGTCACCAGTGTGACCCTCCACGTGTTGATTGTTGACACAGGCACAGTCTGGGCAGCAGCCCTGATAACAAGGACCTTTATAAGTCAGATGAAAGGAGCAGTCACTGTGCAGACCTCTGATCCTCAGGTAAAGGTCAGCCTCTCTCTCACATAATTTTTTTTCTTATGTGTTAGACTGAAAGGAGAATATATAATATATAAATGTAATTATAGATCATTCATTGGATTGTTTTTTTTATGTAAAACTTATATATTATCTCATCTGTCTCTACAGAAAGATGAACATGCATCTAAAAGTCATGATCTTTTCCATGTCATTCTTGACAACTTCAGGTAAACATTAGTCCCACATATTGTTGAAATTTTTTTAAGTTATTTTTTCAAATATGATTTCTTTCTTTATAGCATTCCCACTCCACAGTAACAGCGGGGAGGCAACCTGGACTGACTCAAAGACCAACCAGGCTTACGACAAGACAGAACTCACAAAGGATGAGGAGTAAGTTGACCAGATTAAGTACTTTAAACCAGCTGAATACCTGAAGTAAATTTGCTTTCATACACTTAAGTAAAAGTGAGTGACTGTTAATCTTTTCACAGTAAGATCTACAAGAACCATATAGACAGCAAAGGCCTTTACAGCCAAGAAGATGAAGACAACAAAAACCCTGTGACAGAGGAGGTGCAGCACAAACTCAACATGGAGTCAGATCGTCTCCGTAGTCGTCTTCGCCAAGAGCTGGCCGAGCTGCGGGAGAGGTTATCCCCATCTCCAGTGCATTTCAGTTCCACACTGGAAAGCATGAGGGAGCGTTTGGCTCCCCTCACCCAACAGCTCCAGAGCTCTCTCAGCAGTAACACCCAAGATATGTGTGGCCAGCTGAGCCTCTACCTGCAGGGCCTGGAGACAGCCGAAGCCCAAGCAGAGACAAGTCCACCTCTCTACCATGAAGCCGTCAGCTGGATGGGCCAAACCCTGGAGCACAGCAGCTCCAAGCTGGCTGGCATCCTCAGTGACTTCCATACTAAAGCCATCAGGGTAATTGAACATCAGAAAGAGACTAGTGCTAGAGAGGAAGAGGTAGAAGTGTGGCAGAAAATAAGGTCCCGGTTGGGACAGAAAGTGACCTCACTGAGGGTGGAGGCACAGGACAGGGTGGGAGCTCTCAAAACAGAGCTTGCTGCTCTGCTAGAAACCACAGACCCTGTACAGGCTAAAGTGGCAGGGAGCCTAGAGCGGGTCTGCCCAAAAGCAACCCCGCAGTGCAGGCCAGCATGGAGAGGCTATTTCAGGGGCTGGAAGAGAATCTAAAAGTCCAGGGAGCCTCCAGCCTGTCATCCATACAACCAGGTGACTCTTTACATGAGGACTTCTCAGTCAAATTCTCTGCTCTGATCCAGGACATTCTGCAGTCAGTACAGTAACAGAGACACCGTACATAAAATAATGAACGACTATTACAGCATGGTTGCATTGATTAATTTGTCCTCTATCCTTGAAGATGGTTTTTTAATGTGTCTGTACATATTTGTAAATGTATTTATGTTCAAGTGATGTATGTATACTGTGAAATATGCTGCTTGTAGAGAGAAATGCTCCTGATGACACAAAGGAACTATTATGTTTTTAAATGATCAAATACGAATATCAAACACAAAGTTCAATGTCAATCGGCCTTTACACTCTATTTTGTACAAGCCAAATATTACATATTCAAATTTGATTCAATAAAAACATACTTTAATAATGCAACAGATTCTGTACAAGATACAAATAGTTTTAAAAAAGTGTGGCTGGTAGTCTCGCAGGGATTATCAGAGCAAATGTATACATTTATAAAATTACTCTTTTGAATTGTTTGCATAGTTTGGTTTTGACTGCTCCACCATAACTGAAAAATAACTAGTGAATTCAGATGCAGTATGTATAAGCAGAAAAAGTTATAGTTACAACGTGGTATCGGTGACTAGACAAAGACATTTTGTAAGTTGATTGATCAGTCAGAATCATGAAATAATCCTCCAGCTGCGTGACCAAACACCACCCCTGCCACCAGGCCCGACAAATCCAATGAGTAATGAGAAATCAGATGATGTCTTCATTTGCAATTTTCACTTTAAAATCCAAAAATCAAATAAGGAAAATGCTATTTTTTGCTTATATTTTACTATACGTGTATCTGACAAAAGGGTTTTTTAAAATATAAACTTTTCAATGACAAAATAGAATTGTGTGGTTTATGTGCTCATTTTCCTTTTTGTCTTCATGTGAAAATCGTCAAAACAGACACGTAGATGTGGCTTGGAATTTTCACAGTAAAAGCTCTGTCTTGTCTGCTGAGCAGTTCAGCAGAATCTTCATCAACTGCAAGAGCTCAGGGCATGATGGGAGACGACTGGCTCTCACCTGATCTGAGAGGAACATATTCAGGCAGTTTCATATCAAGTCTGGTCAGCTCAAATACACAGCAAACTGATTTAAAATTTTGCATAGCCAGACCTCTGCTTCGTCCAGCTGCTAACGTTATAATAGAAAATTCCCAAAAATAGCATCCGACAGATGTTGTCTGAAATCAAAAGCAAAGATTTGGTCTCAACATTGGTAGGGACTCAGCAGCCACAGTGTAGAGACTGGTTATAGTAGGTAGCTAGCAGGTTTAAATGTTAAATCAATGTGCCTGTTGGATTTGGATGCATATTAGCTGGATTTTAAGGGCATTTTTAAATAAATGCAGACCCCATAAACAATACCACACACACGTCATGCGTAACCAGTTTAAAAGGCATTTCAGTTCTATACAGTGCAGTCAGGTGTCAGAGATTAAAGTGCTGTGCCCGAGTTTCAGATTTCATACCTGTACGAGCTAAACTGCAGGTTATATCATTTAGTTTCTTAAAGATAGTTCGGTGCGCTCTAATTGAGATGTATCTAGTTTGTGTGCATCTATGTTGTACAGTTCTATGCGATAGAGGGCGGGGTGAAGGCAGGTGGAGCCCCTGGGTTTGTAGCGGAAAGGGCACAAGGTGGCTAGTTTAACTAAACAAGTTTTGATTGTGTTAGTTAGAGTAAATAACTCTTATTTGGAAATAATAAAACAGATACAAGTCTGACAGGCTCCAGCAGCAATGACACGCTCCTACAACAGCGCCGACACTACCATGTAGACTACCCCTGCTCTTGGAAAACAGAGTGGGTCAGAGTCCTGCATGACCACCAAATAAAAAATATATTTAATACAATGAATCAGTTACAACCAACGTGAAATAAAACCTTGAAAATTAAAACATCAGGAGCAACCTGGTGACAGGTCCAGACATATGCTTAGTCATGTGTGGACAAAATACCAAATAATACTTGGAGCCCATGCAAACTCAAATCAAATCTTAAAGTGATTATAAACAATATTTTTACAATGAAATTATATCAAATCACAAATGTTAAAACAATGTTATAACGTGAAAAAGTTTTATAGTGAGTTATTGTTAAATTGAAATGCATTCACAAAAACACACTTTGAAGGTAAAATTAACAAACCAAGTAGCATGTGATCACTTTTCAAATCATTTTTTCTATACAAAAGATTTTAATTATATTGAAGCAAGGTGCACTCACAAAAAAGGTCTCAATTTATAAAATGTATTAATTGATTAATTGAATGTGAAAGTCATATTTTTCTCCACATGCATGTAGCAATATTAACAATGTGCGCGTCCATACTCAGTGAAGAAGTTATGCTGCTCAGGGTTGAACAAGGTTGAACCGAAGCAGTGATGTAGCAATACCTGAAACTGAAAACAGGACAGCAGGCCAATGAGAACACACTTTGCTAACCTTTATTTCAATATTTGTTTTCTGATAAACAAATTCACTGTGAGCGTTTGCTCATCCAAATGATCTTTGCTTACTTTCCACTGAGGTTAAATGCCTTGACCTCCACATGCTGTAGATCCTGGTTTGCAGCACAAGTCCTGTTGAAGGTAAACAAATGAGTTGCCATTGTCAGTCCCGGAGAAATAAAGTACTAGAGTAAAATAAGACAAGAGAAATAGCTCTTTATGTGTATCTAAATCTGTTGAATACAAACAAGTGTTTACAATACATTAAAAATAGTCATTTTGGTGTGTTGTTGAAGGTTTTGTTATCATCCTCGATAGCCACCAAAATGAGAAACTGAAAAAATGGTGATGATGTAAAACAACAGAGTTTGTTTGTTTTTTTTTGCTTTCAGGTTTACTTGTTAATTTCATGTGTTGCCTCAGCTAAAATGTGGTAGGTTTTTCTCAACAAAGCCTAAATAATCATTATAAAAAAATATCTTTTTGCACAGACTAAGCATTCCTAACTACCCACACCACAGCCTGTGTGTTCTTCAATGCGTAGCAACAGGAGAAGTGATAGTAGAGTTCTGTAAAGTAACTGATCACCCCCTGGCCAGATCCTGGTGTGTCAGTGTACCCTGTGATGATAACTGATTGGACACTTAGGAAACTGCTGGAGGGGCCCATGAGGTTTGGGGCCTTATCCACAGTCTGCATGATGCAGCAAAAGACAACCACTACCTTGGCTTCTTGCCAAATAATTCTCCATAAAGCGTTGACATTCAACTGTAGATCCAGCTTCCATATATTTGCTATTATCCTCCAGTATAATTCAATATTATTCCTCCACTAAGAGAGACAGTCTGACCTGCAGAGTAGTCACGACAGGGGTTATCCTGACTGTTGCTAACAGGATGGCTGGAGGGCAGGCACTGGTGTCGACAGAGTCCTGGCACTACGTATTGTTATGGTTCCCCTTTAGAGCCTGGTCTGTGCTATTGAAGCCACCCACTGAGCTGTGCACAAGCTGATCTCCAGTGTGATGGCAACAGTGCCACAGTACACTGTCAGGTTCTTATCTATGAAAGAGAGAAAATAAGAAACCAAGGAGATGTAGAGGACAGCGCTGATTTATGTTTTAAAACTGTGAGATGTTCTCCCATCGGAACCGGAGGGAAAATTAATATGATGACCCGGTTGCTGCTGCAGAGACAGAGTAGGCTGCAGGAACGCAACCAGTAGAGGGAGACAAAGATAAAGAGTCAGTCACGCTGAGCAATCCTGTATTGATATGGAAAAAACATAACAACTACAGAAAAGCAGTAAAAAAAAAAATTACAACTGAAAATATTTCAATTGGAGAAAGTAAAAAATCATATCAAATGTTGTTTTGCCTTGCTAAAAATGATTTATATTTCAGTTTTCAAAAATGCATAATCCCTGAAATGTTGCAATTAAAAGCCAGTAGATTTCAAATAGAAACCATTGTGACAACCTAAGGAGGGTCCTGCCTTGCTGGTGCCTGAGCAGGTGTTTATCACAGAAGTCATCCAAAGTTGCTTTTATAGTTTTAGACAGAATCAAGACACCTAAAACTATGGATGTGGATGTGTGACACTTATCCCTTCCCCTCAGGTAATTATAGACATCCGTGTACACACATACTGTATAGACACACGTCTAGTACAGAGTACACACACTTTTTCCATGTTTCTGCCTTGACTTCTTGTGCAGACTGCAGCAGCTTCCCGAGGGTTCACCGTCAGATCTTCACCTGTGGTATTAATCTGTCACTGGTTTGTAACACAGATGCCTCAGGTTAACTACAGCTGCTGCTTCATATTTCCCTCTATCAAAATAGATTTTTGAAGAATGGATGTGAAAGGTAAAGCTACTGGCTGGTTGTGCTGATGCAAATCTACTGTATATTCAGAAAACGTTAAAGTTCTTAGTCAACCTGTAGTAACCTTTCTTAATTTCCCGGGCATGTCAAACCTCTCCTGTCTCTATGGTGCTGGATGGCAGGTGGTCTATATACAGTAGCTATAGGCAGGGGCGAGAGAGGGGGCATTTGAGTCCACAGTCGGTGCCATCGACCTCCACTATTGTTCAAAAATGATTAAAAACGCATAAAGGAAACACACCGCTACAATGGGTTACGTTGTTTTTTTTTTTCATAAAGAAACACCAGGCCCGTTTATGTTGGCCCAAAGTCTCCGGTGTGGCCACAATCTCCTGAAGTTATCACAAGTCAGTTTCAACTGCACTTAGTGACACTTTGTCCAAGCTCTCAGCTTTGTTTACATTCTGTTAGCTCCTCACACTTAGCTCTGGTGTTTGCTAATGAAGAAACATGTCACCCAGTGCAGTGATGTGTTTCACTGATGTGTTTTTAATTCTTTTTGAACAACAACGGAGGTCTGCAGCACAGACAAAAAATCTAATCCATGACTGACGCACTGACAGACGTTAACCATAAATATCGGGCAGTTTGTTGTCAGATTTAATCTCTGTATGGAGACTGTTAATACAGAAAATGACCTGCCTTATCCTTTAAACCTGTTTTAGCTACCTTCAGAGTTCCAGTCAAAAGATAAACCTCAGGTGTTGTGAGATGATTAATGGGAGAGGAAAAAACTAATTCTGCTATTCAAAGTTTATAATAATTTTAGATTTTTCTCTAATGTTAGCTTTATGTGAATTACTGAATACGTTGAATATGTATTGGACTGATTGATCTGTGCTCCTGTTGGTCAGTGTTGGCCCAGAACTGAAGCAGGCCACCAGTTAACCTTTGGGTCCATCAGGGAACATTTCAGTCTGATGATTTTGCTGGATTAGACTCTGTGAAATGATTTATTTTTGTTTTGTAACCCATATGATGGCTCCAGGGTTTTGCAGTTGTTCTTATTCTGGAAATTAAGCTGCAATGCCTGGAAACCTAACCAAAGCAATGAACAGGAAGTAGAGTTCTGAAAAAATCCTTTCCTCTTCCACCACTGTATGTTTTCCTGTTCCAGGGACAGTCTCTCTCTCTTCCTCTTTATCTTATCCTCTGTCCCTCTCTCATTTTGTTGTCCTTACTGTGTCTCCCTCTGCATAGTGTTTTCACATGGTGGTATCAGTCAGTCTCCTTAACACAAAACACACACACACACACACACACACACACACACACACTTGCTTTATGGGAGTAGGGATGTTTTTAGTCACATCACACATGTGGTTGCTAAATTTAGCCGCATCACATCATACCAGACCAACAGTGTGCTGGACAAAGAAAGAGAAACACTTTTACTTTTACAGCTCTTTACAGCTTTTACTTTTACAGTTTTAAAAATAAGTTACATTTTTACATGCTCTGAGTTTTTGAAGTCAACCTTGTGTCTACTTCTGCTTTCTCACTTCATTTTCTGCTGTGGGTTGTTTCACCCCAGATAGCACTCAATCCCTGTGCATGTGTGTTCTTGTACTTACTACACAGGGAGGACCACTAAAGTATTTTTTTGGCTACAGAGCGAGGACATTTTGACCAGCCCTCACTTTCTGAAACACCTTTTTTCAGGGTTAACACTTGGTTTTAAGGTTTAGGTTAGAATTTGGTTTAGGTTAGGGTTAAGGGAAGGATTATGGCATTTAGTTCTGGTGGTTAAGGTTAGGGGAGGAGGCTAGTAAAGGAATAAAGAGAGATATGCCTTCTTTATTTAAGCACAGGGAGCATGATGCATGTTGCATGCACAAACATCTCTGGTCATTACATTATAATAACATTACTACATGTGAACTGGGGGCTTGTTATTTTAGCACATACTGCAACAGAATGCATAAATTTGTACCTCAGTGGTTTCAGAGTTCACACTGAGGGAAACATGACCAGTAAAAAGCAACAATGCTTCGCTTTCTGTTTTGTCTTTTCAAAGCAAAAATC